CTTTACCTATATATATATATATATATATATATATATATAAAATAGAAAATTGAACTATTAAGTAAGAGTTTGAGAAATCTGTAGGATTAGTTCAAAGTCACTGTGACCCAAAAATCACTAAGGCCAGGAAGAGCCAAGAAAGTGTAGGGACTGTTTCCAGTTGACTCGAACTAAAATGACAAATTTCAACTACTACTAATAATACACCTCGTATTAATAATAGAGAAGAAGTTATAATCGATAATATAGATAAAAAAATCCAAAATTGGAATATACCAAAAGTACCTATAACAGATGTTTATAGTAAGGGGACTTTTGATTTCAAAAGTAGTTTTTCCATAAAAACAATTGAAAAAAGTATTTTTGTTATGGAAACTCAAGACAAATTTCAATTACTTTCAGAAAGAATGATCGAAGATCATAAAAAGAAAGATTATAAATATTTGCATATTGGATTAGTTCAAATAGCTGTCAAACCATTGACAAGAACGAGATTAAATAATTTTGTTCTACTCTGTTTAAGAGATAGCCGACACAAAAGATTCACTGATTCTTTATTAGGAGTAGTCGAATCTAGTCTATATAATGGTCCAATATACTTTAATTATTTTCCAAATTTCTCTGTAGCCTTAACCGATCCAAATCTGTTAAAAGTCCTAACTCTAAACCTAAAATCTCAAGGTTTTGATGTGAACCCTGGTTCTCAAAACCTTACATTTGTTTATAGGATCTGTTATAAAGTAATGAATACTTTATGCCCAAATGCCAGACAAATGGATTTAAAATGACAAACTATATTTTTTCAGACAAATATGGAAAAATCAAATTTAGTCATACCCAAATTAGTGGCATGGTCTCAGGTAAGACTACCAGAGTGTTGGGTTAAAGTTCCTAAAAATAAATATCAAGAACAAATAATAGAATACACTGACAGAGAAATAGAAATCTGTTTTCCATCTTCAAGAAGAACTACATTAAGGATTGATAATTCATATATTAGAGATCCTCCTAGAAGTTCAACCTCTTTAGTTCCACAATCTGAATATGAAAGAATACCCACTCATAGGAAAACTATTATTGAAAGACTCAATAGAACTCCAAACCAAGTTCAACAACCAGTCTACAGAGTAGACACTCCGGAATCTTCAGAATTAGGAGAACCGACACCTTCTGATCTTGATTTTGATATATGTGTGGTGCAGAAGGAAAAAGAATTCAAAATTGATAAATAATGGATCAAAAAGATTTTTTCTTTGAAGAAAATAGACAAATAAGAGAATAGTTCTTCAAAGAGTTTAAAGAACCTCTTCAGAATGCTTTCCATTTAAAATTTAACAGGTTCATGATAAGACATAAGGCAAATGTCAAATTCTTTAAATGGTTAAAATACATAGCTAAAGACTAAGGAATAAAAATTCTAAAATTTGAAATAAATACGGTTGAAAAATATTTTCAGACTTTTCAAACAACAAAAGGAGAGACAATTGAGTCTATTCATCCCCTTGAGACTAGCTTCCAACTTAAGGGAGAAAAGTTCGGGAAGAAAATTGAAGTTAAAGCTTCACCCTTTAAACATAATATGGCCAAGCTTGAAGGAATACCACATATTATTGATCAAAATAATTATACAAATGTTTTTCTCCAAACAATAGGAAAGCAAGCTACAAGAATAGAAAATGCAGTTAATAATTTAAAACCAACTGCAGAAGATAAAAAAATTGGTAAGCAAAAAGAGGCTGTTCTATTTAAACCTCTTCCAACTATTGAAACAAGAAAGTTTTGCTTACAAGGAATAAAGAAAAAAAAAGGCAATAGGGAATTAGTCGATGAATTGGTTAAAAGATTGGAAAAATTGAAAATCAATAAAAGAGAGAAAAGTCAGTCTTCTAAAGCCAAGGAAGGAGATATTCAAGTCCTACAAAAGGTACCTGGCCAAGAAATTTCTGATATAGAAAAAGCTTTTAAAACAGAAAGCTTAGAAGTTAATAAAATTGATTATGGGAGAAAAATTAGACCAGTATCCTAAACCAGAATGTACTATCCTAGACCAACCCCAGTAGATCTTCAAATAGAAGACCTAATTTCTACCTCGATCTCCTATTCAGGGAAATCTATAGTAAACTGGAATATAGACGGCATGGCTGAAATCAAATCTTAGATCTTATGAAACAAATGACTATGTATGCCACTGCCTGCAAGGCGAGTGGAAATCAAGACCACGAGATAGCCAAGGACATAATATGTGGATTTACAGGATGGTTAAGAGGTTGGTAGGATTTTCATATGGATGAAGAATCAAAAAATCAAATATTGAATGCCTCAAAACAGTGGCTAGTAAAGAATGAAACTGATAAAGACAATATAATCCAAGAAGGAGATGCAGTCAATACACTAATATATATAATCACCCTCCATTTCGTAGGAAGCACTGCTTTGTTGGCAGCAAGGTCTGAAGATTTGTTATCAAATCTAAGATGTCTTACACTCTCTCATTATAAATGGTATAAAGATGTATTTTTCTCAAGATTACTATCCAGAGAGGATAGTAAATCAGACCATTGGAAAGAAAAGTTTGTAGCTGGACTACCACATTTTTTTGCAGAAAAGGTAAAAACAAGGCTTAAAAATAAGCGTGGTGGAATTATTCCTTATTCTCTGTATACCCTAGGAGAACTATGCGTCGAAATCTGTGCTGAAGGTCTAGCATTATGTATAGACCTAAAGCTTCGAAGACAATTGGAAAAACAGAGAATAACGGGGAGAAAGGAGTTAGGAGATTTCTGTGAACAGTTTGATTATAATACCCTACCCCCTCCAAAACTCTTTTGTAAAGAAAAACATGAAAATTTCAGAAAGAAAAAATTTAAAAAATTAGTAGTTCTGATTCAGACTCTGATGATGAAAATAATCCAAAAGAAGAAAATTGTCAATATAATTTTTACAAGGTAGTCATTGATATGAATGGGTTAAGTATCAACACTCTTACAAAAGAAGATCTGATTATAGATCTTATCAATAAAATAATGGATCCAGAAGCTAAAAGGGAAGCCTTAGTTCAATATATCAACATGTCCAAAACTCCATCTGAAAAGGCAAGATCTTCTCTTGTTCTGACAAAAGAAAATTATAGTTTTCATGATATCCTTAGAAGAGTGCAAAACAAAACCCAGGTTGATAGAGAACCCTCAATCTCTGAATTAAAACATGAGATAAATGAGGTAAGAAACGAGTTAATAACTCTAAAAACAAAGGTTCAAATCCTAGAATTAACCCTGAAACCTCCTAAAGAAGAAATTGAAGATGAAAACATAAAATTAG